CACTATTTCTATTCTACCAACATGGACTATAAAACCAAGAGAGGTTTAGTAACTTGTACTGWGTGGCACAGCTAGTAAGGTGTGGAGATGAGATTCAAAGCCCGGCAGGTGGACTCCAGAACCCTTACCAAGTAATGTCTATACTCTCCAATTGGATTATATTCTCCTTAAAATCAAAGGCAAAAAACTAAGTCATCTTTTATATTCAAATCAAAAAATAATCAGAGGAATTGTGTGGGGTTCAGCTCAGTGTAGAGTATGTGCCTAGCATGCACACACTAAGCCCTGGGTTCAATCACCAGCACCCATCATCATCATCATCATGTAATCACTAGCACAGAAAACAAATCATTGTGAGTGATTAATCATTGCAGATTTTCATTAMAAATTTAGAGTAGATAATATGTGCCTATGTTCAAAATTCTAAAGATACTAAGTATACAGAGAAATGAAGAATTTCTCCCAACCCTGTCCATCACCATCTCACCCCATACCTTTCCATAGAGATAAACACTGGCAAAAATKGACCTGCACTCTTGAAAAGTCCATCCAATGGAAGTGCTCACATGCATGTTGACACATTCCATTGTCTTTAAAAATCACAAATGGTAGAATGCTTTTTCCTTTTTCCTAACAATATGTTGGATATTGCTCCATGTGACTAAATTAGAGTTTCCTCATTCACTTAAAAGATGGTTTCATATTCATTCATATGGATAGTCAATCATTTCTTTAATCATTACCTTKGTTGCTTATTTTTGTGGCTTAGGAGTTCTGAGAGGTATTAGAAATTTAAACTTCAAAGGATGACTTTCAGCCGAATTGAAGTCATCAGATAAATATTTAAAATATTTTTATATGAGTTGCTGTGGCCATAAAAATGAGTTTAAATCTAGTGAGATCAATATGAYATGTATGTGTATAACACAAAGTCACTACCAATGCTATGAAAGAGGTAGAGCTTGCTTCCAAAGTTTTGGCACGGGTGAGGTGGGGAGGGGAGAATCATAAAACAAATTTTAAGGACATGTACAATTGTGACAGCCAGAGAGCTAGGGGTCTTTCTGAAGCCCAATCGAGCAGAAGGAGCTACATTGAAAAATGAAAACCTTGATCACAGATAGGACCATATAGTGCACAATAAGAAGATGTTATGTGATTCAATTTGGTTAGACTAGAAGGTATAGGAAATACGATCCAGAGAGAAAAAACAGCAAGGATAGGAGGARACATTTATGATATTTACATTCACTATGATGGGAAGTAGGGAGTCACTGAAAGCTTTTGAGCAGATGAATGTCATCATTGGAGCTACATTATAGGAAGATTAGCAAATGGTTGGAGCCGGGTGTGATGGCACATGCCTATAATGCCACAGCTGGGGAGGCTGAGGCACGAGGATCTCGAGTTCAAAGCCAGCTTCAGCAAGTGTGAGCCGCTAAGCAACTCATTGAGAAGGGCTGGGAATGTGACTCAGTGCTTGAAGGCCCCTGAGTTCAATCCCTGGTACCAAAAAACAAAACAACAACAACAAAAAAAACAAAATAAAACAAAACAAAACAAAACAAAAAACACCAAATGGTTTGGAGGAATGAATGACTGGACTGAAGGAAGGGAGATCAGCAGACTTTTAATTGGTTACGTGATATGATGATGTGGTTGCATTAACTGAATAGTAAGAGGGAAATATTAAGGAACAAAGAAAGGTAAATCTGATTTTGGTAGATACACTTTATTTTGATAATTATTGATTAGCTACAGAATGTGAACATTTATCTGTTTTCAAATCAAAACATAAGTRTTCCTTTGTAAAGACTTAGATTTGAATATTAAAATGTTAGTATTTCTTTCATGCTAAACATATTTATCCCACTTTTATGGTTCATCAAAATTTAGCCAGACAATGGTGAAGCATGCCTATAACTCCAGTAACTCAGGAGGAACAAGGCCAGCCTCAGCAACTTATTTCTCAAAATAAAAAATAAAAAGGGCTGTGAATGTGGCTCAGTGGTTAAGCACCTCTGTGTTCAATCCCTGGAATAATAATAATAATAATAATAATAATAATAATAATTGGTGTCAGAGGAGGGAATGAGGGACAACCCAAAATAGGGACATCAATAATAGCGATAATGCACGATTGTAAATTATCAATAGTTGATGGTAGATGTTGTTTCCCAATACACAAAGAAGCTCTAGCGACAGGGCAGAGATGATGGCCCTTTTCTAATATCTCATTTTGCCTCCTTTCCTTCAGCTTTGCTTCTAGTCAGGGAGAAGGATTTTCCTAGCCCCTGCCTCTGCATCCAGAGGTAACTAGATGGAACCTCAGGAAAAACAAATGGGCTCTTTGCTCATTTCCCCTTGGTGGCAGCCAGTTCTACCAGTCAAAGAGACAAGTCAGGCTCAAAAGCTCATTGAGAATGGAGGGCAGAAGGTCACAGCCAACCCAGAGGGACAAGAAGGCCCTTTCCAGGGTCATTCATTCCTGGGACTACTGAATTGGGTCATGGTGGGAGGCAAAGTCCTGCCACAGCCGCAGGTTAGAAAGGTCTGTGGGTCATTTAGGTTATGGCGGCAGGCCCCATCTTAAGGACAGGCAGGGTTTGCTGGGGTGGACTTGGGATCTGTGTTTGCTCTCTCCGCTGCCTCCGGGAAGAGGTTGCAACATGCAGCTTCCCCGCCCTCCCCAAAACAGTGGCTAAAGCTTCACCTGCTCTGGRAGATTTTTGGGTCACAGGGAGACGTTTGAGCTGGGCCAAAAAAGGAGGAGCTTAAATCGGGGTGCAAAATCTGGGAACCTGCTGAGCACAGGTTGGGACCAGGAGGAGGAAAAAGAGTCGGGAAAGAGGTGCCCACCCTTCCGGTAAGGAGACCCCGTGATCAGCTCCCTCCAGTAGCCRTCGCGGCCAGCCCTGGACCGTATATAAAGGCACAGGGGCAGCCCAGGAGTTCACAGCGCTGACAGCACAGGGCTTGAAGCGCCAGGCGCCCCACGCATCATGGGTTTGTCCCTGCAACCCCGGGGTTTAATTCTGTACCTCTGCAGCCTTCTCCTGTTCTCTCCAGCATGCCTGGCAGTAAGTGTGCTGTTCATAAAACACCTTCTTTTAAACAGAAAGCCGAAACGTAAGAAAGCAAATGGTGACTAGTGACATTTCGTGCTTTTCTCCTTTTAGTATGTGGCTACCAGAGACAACTGCTGCATCTTAGACGAAAGATTTGTAAGTAGCCTTTATGTTTCTTGCGTTCTGTTGGAGAGGGGAGGACAACAGAAGCAATTCTTCCACAAATACCGTTGAATGTTTTTAAAATATCGTTGACCTATTACTTTTTTTTTTTATGGATAGGTTTTAAGTGTTGCTCTTGTCCAAATGTCTGGTCACTTGCTGCTTCTGTTTGCAGGGTAGTTATTGTCCAACTACCTGTGGCATCGCGGATTTCCTGTCTACTTACCAAAGCAATGTAGACAAGGACCTGCAGAGTTTGGAAGACATCTTACATCAAGTTGAAAACAGAACAACAGAAGCCAAAGAACTCATCAAAGCCATCCAGATCAGCTATAATCCAGATCAGCCAAAAAAGCCAAGTGAGAAACTAAGGACTGGGGGCCAACTGAGAAAATCGTTCAAGAAGTTCTTTGGTTGTTGTTTTAGTTGTTTGGTTTGTTTATTTTCTGGTTTTGGTCTCCTCTAACAGATATGATAGAGACTGCCACCCAGAATTCCAAGAAGATGGTAGAAGAGATTATGAAATACGAAGCATTGATTCTAACACATGACTCTAGTATCCGGTAAGCATTTTGGCTTTCCTTTGCTCTCCAAGACAGATTTAGTTTTGATTACTATAACATGTTTCAGTGAAAGTCTTTTTAATGTGTTTTTTTTTTTTCATTTAAAATGTCCAGTTGACATTATGTCTGTCTTTGACCCAATGAGGTGGGAGGTTTTTTTTTCACAATATAAATTGTACTGAATTATAATTGCATTTATTTATGGCATTGAGGATCAAACTCAGAGCTTCCTGCATGCTAGGTAAGCAACCAAGCACTGAGCTACATCCCCAGCCCCAGTAATTGCTTCCTAATAATATCATTGGAGAAAGGTGTTCTAAATATTTTTAAATGTTTAAAATCTAAATGTCCCTCACCTCCCACTGGTCTTACAATGTAAAAATCATACACATGGGCATTTGGGTGTTGAAAGTAAAATTCTCTTTATAAAAATGTCAACAAGTCAGTGGTAAGAAATTATCAAGCAGAGTCATAAGAAGGATCATGACTACTAAGGTAAATTATATTGAAGGTGAGTCAGAAAAGAAATATCTTAAGAGACTTAAACAAACATTGTAAAGCTATGTGTTGATTGTGGCACAGTGAACCTATAGTTATGTATTTTCCTCCTATCATGTGGAAATAAAATACCTTTTCCTGACTTCCTAGAGTCACATAAACTTTCTAACCACGGAATCTCAGAAAAAGTTGTAGTTTCTTCATCATTTAAAAAAAATTGATCTCAAAACTGTGAGAAACTGAGTGTATGGGAAGAAGTGGCCCAGGAGAGATTTGCCTCTTTTTGATATCAGAAGTCTGTTGTTGTGTTTATTTCACCAATATAATTTACATTATGACTGCCCATCATTGAAGTTAAGGAGACCATTGTGCAGAAATTGTCTAAGAGTAGAGAAAGAGGGTGGTCCAATAGTTTTTCTTCCCTTCTGTTCTTCAAAGTTAGAAACAGAAGTTTATGCACAGTGGATAGTTTTCTATCATTTCTGAATATTTATAAGCAACCCTGTAAGAAACTGCAAAAGCAGGGTTTTTACTTCCCCCAAGCTTTTTCTAGACCTGTGTAACTAGAAACACTAAGAAAGATAGGAAGTGTCTAGTTGTTTATTTTATGTATGGTAATACCTAAGATACCTTTTGCAAGTAACTTAGAGATGGAAGCCCATTAATAGGTCCTTGGTAGATCACCAAGTTTAAATGGATGACGCTTCAACAACACATGGGAATTACTGAGCCGAACTGTCCCTGCTTCCAAATGGCCAGGAGGTGTCTCCCTTAACCAGGCCCATCTCACTTTGGCTGTTACCTGCTCTCCTTTAAGCATAAACTGAAAATCAGAATGACCACTTAGTGATGACCTTGGTATATTGACATGGACTTTGTTATTTGTGTTCAGAGTTGAGACTTTATGTCTGTTTCTGGATAAAAAGATTCTGGCAAAAAAAAATTGTATTCCTGTTTTAATTATTTAGGGAGGGGGGTGTGGAGTTGATTTCCTTGCCCCCCCCCAAAGCTTAGCATTTTAATTTATTTCAATTTATTAACATAATTTTGCAAATTTCCCCAAAAGGGAAGTCTTAAGAAAATAAGATAGTAGTTCTAAGAGAAAATACAAAGTTACTCCAATGAAAGGAATGCTTATCTTTTATTATCTCGTTGTTTAATTTGTAGATTTTTGCAGGAAATATATAATTCAAATAATCAGAAGATCCTTAACCTGAAACAGAAGGTAGCCCAGCTTGAAGCCACGTGCCAGGAGCCTTGCAAAGACACAGTACAAATCTATGATACAACTGGGAAAGGTAAATGAGAGGTTTATATAGGGATCATGTTCATCAAAGCAAATAGACAAAGTAAAAGGGAATGTATAGGAATAATGTAGAAAGTGTCTAGCTTTCCCGCCACTCTTCCCTGCCTTCCTTTTTTTTTTTTTTTTTTTTTTTCCTGGAAGTACTGGGAATTAAACCCAGGGGCACTTTACCACTGAGCCACATCTCCAACCCTTCTAGCTCCTTTTCTTTCCCTCTTTCTTTCTTTCCCTTTTTCCTCTTTTTTTCTTCCTTCATTTCTCCCTTTCTCTCTCTCTCTCTCTTTCTTTCTTTCAACAGGGTCTTGCTATGTTGCTGAGGCTAGTCTAGATCTGCAATCCTCCTGCCTCAGTCTCCTAAGTCTCTAGGATTATAGGCATGCTGCTCCTTGCCTAGTGAGTATCTAGCTCTTAAGTGTCTAAGGATTCCAATAGTATAGAGTATTCTTGAATAGCAAACAATAGTTTGAAAGGACTGATGATGTAAGAATGTACATAATGTAAATTATATTCCTCTTGGGAAATGAAGAGTTGAAAACAGGTTCRTTTCATCTCATTTTTGAGGTTAGCACAGTCTTACCTGGATTTAAAAYCACAATAAATGTTTCTTATTTTCCTTTTTCAGATTGTCAAGACATTGCCAATAAGGGAGCCAAAGAGAGTGGCCTTTATTTCATCAAGCCTCTGAAAGCGAAGCAGCAATTCTTGGTCTACTGTGAAATTGATGGCTCTGGAAATGGATGGACTGTGCTACAGAAGGTAGTTTTCCCTTTTCATCTGTGTTTAATAAATGTCCACATTGGTGCTGACATATGGCAGATGCTTGTCAAAGTACCTTGTGAACATTAAATTACTTAACCCTCAGGAGGGAATGGAGGATGACAGGTAGAGTAACYTGCCCCAAATCACATAAGTAATAAGTAACAGAGTGAGGATTTGAATCCAGGCAGTGTGGTTTCAGTGTCTTGACTTTCACTCAATATGGCTGGTGTCACTGCTGCAGATTTATGATGGCACATAAGCAAAGTCCTTTGGTCACAAAAAAAATAGAAGAGATCTCTTTCATCAGATATATTAAGACCAAGGACCGCCATCACAAGAAGAAGAGCCGCCCCCCACCCCCAGAAGATACAGGTGGGCTACTCCAAGGCCTCTTGTGGCCTCTGCCAGTCACTGGGAGCCACTGAGGATCCTGGCTCCCTTGCCTTATTTACTTCCTGCCACTGTTAAACTACTTGTGCAGGGGGCACTCAGAGGGCTGCATTCCACCATCAGCACATGGAATCAATAATGTCTCGCTCGAGTTCTAAAGTCCTCCAGGGGTCTTAAAAAAAAAWAAMACCTACCACTAGTTCAGAATTCACCATGTACTGAGCACTCTTTAAAAYGTTTTATTAATATCTATCATGAAATCCTCACAGCAACCCTAAAAAGCCCGATTTGATAGATAAGGAAACCAAGGCATCTTGCCCATGTCACTTCATTGCTAGTCAATAGACTTATWACTTCCATATTTTTGACAGGATGTTGTTGATATTTTCTTGACATGCACCAATATCTGTTCTCTCCCCTTGTGCCATTCTGTAATTAGAGACTGGATGGCAGTGTGGATTTCAAGAAAAACTGGATTCAGTATAAAGAAGGATTTGGCCATCTCTCTCCTACTGGCACCACTGAGTTTTGGCTGGGAAATGAGAAGATTCACTTGATAAGCACACAGTCTCAAATCCCGTATGCACTCAGAGTGCAATTGGAAGACTGGAGTGGCAAAACCAGGTACTATGCAGAAAGAACTTTAAGGATTTTTTTTTGTAGAGGTCGTCCAACATGTGCCCTTTCCAACTCTCAATAGATGGATAGCAAAAAACAGCCTGGCATATGTGAGGAACAGTTTGGTTCTTGGGCAGTCCAAAGAGGAAGGTTCTCTCTGTAATGGATCTGAATGTTTTGGTATAATTTACTTAYCCTGGAAACATTCAGAGCAATAGCTAGTTGCTGAGATTTTAATAGGTACCAGAAAATGAGCACGATATTAAATCTAATTTAATCAAAATAACCATCCCMAAAGCAGGTATCATTATTAATCCCACTTTATCAACTAACATTGCTGGTAAATGGTAGGGGTGGGGTATGAATTCAGGAAGTTTGACTTCATGAGTCTCCTGAATGAAAGTGAATTCAGCCTCTTTAGATTTCCCATTTATTTAATAACCACTCATTCTGTCAGCTCCTTGGTTATCATAAAATAAAATCAGCTGGCTCCCTTGGTGATCTACAGCCCTCTCTAGACTTAGAGGTACCTGAGAATTTTGAGTTTGTAGACAATTCAAGTGAATAAAAACATTCAACCATCTTACTATGTTACATATTACATATTYTGTCTCTGAACACAAAGATTTGTTATTGTTTTTTTTTTAACTCTTCAGGTGGTATGAAAGTACTATAGTCAGTAGACTTTTTCCTATAAGATCATCTCCCATTTTCCTAGTACTRTAGATTAGGGAAGAAGGTAAAATATTTTCTGGAAATCTCTGTTCATTCCTGAGACTCATTATTCTCTCCATTCCATAGAATTTTATTTCTTTTAMAATTTTTCCCAGTGGAGAATCTCTCTCTCATTCCTATAGCTCATTTTTTGTGTGTGTGTGTGGACTACACAGGTACTGTTTAGTGTGTCTTTATGATGTCCTAGATAGCCCTCCTTCTTGCCTCTGCCCTACTGCCTTGGGAAAGAAGACTCTTTTTAGACCTCACCCCTCAGGTGGTATGAATGGGTAAGGGAACTAGCTGTATCTCCTTCATGAGCATTAACTCATGCTCACTCATCATCTGATCATCATGGTGATCTATGATAGCATTGAATGCAAGGCTAAAAACTTGAATAGAAAGGGTAAATATGAAATTAGTCAAATTTTGGTTTTATTAGGAACCTATCTATAAGTGAAAAAAGCATTCAAATAGGTGAAGTKTTTACTTTTCACTGGGACTCCTTGAAGTCTTCTAGACCCTTCCTGAGCAGAGTTGATGAACTCTGAACTGGTTCACACATTTATTATCTCATGCCACATTTGTAGAAAACGCTTCTTGATGTTCCTATTTCAGTCTTAAGAAGCGAAGTGACGAAGCAGCTGCCTGAGGGAAACGGGACCCTCTGAACTTCCTGAGGAGGCTTAGGATGTGACGTCTCTATTTCCTTCTTCACAGCACTGCAGATTATGCCATGTTCAAGGTGGGACCTGAAGCTGACAAATACCGCCTGACCTATGCCTACTTCATTGGTGGAGATGCTGGGGATGCCTTCGATGGCTTTGATTTTGGTGATGATCCTAGTGACAAGTTTTTCACATCCCACAATGGCATGCAGTTTAGTACCTGGGACAATGACAATGATAAATTCGAAGGCAACTGTGCYGAACAGGATGGATCTGGTTGGTGGATGAACAAGTGTCATGCTGGCCACCTCAATGGAATTTATTACCAAGGTACTGCTTTCTTTCTTAGGTTCCAAGTGAGTGTAGAGTATGTACATTTTACAAAGTGTAATAAATAGATACAAAGTAAAGAGGAATAATTGTAAGGATAGTAGGTCTTTTATCATTTAGGTCTTTATTTGAAACCAGAATTGGAAAGTACCAAGACTGTGCATAAAATAGGACAACCACCTACTGCAAAATACCCAGTGGTTTGTCATCATACCTAAAACTATCACCATCAGACTTGGAACTCTGGGTTATAGTATCTCCTTTAGACATACCATATATGTGATCTGGATGGGCTAACATTACATATTTGTACTTATTAGCACATTAGCCTGGCTCAGCTTCCCGTGAGTTATATGTATCAGATACAACCAGTGAACAGTGGGTAAGTGTCTAAAGAAGTGGAATGAAGGAAAGGAAAGTACTATTAAGGGCAAGGGTTCATGAATGCATGAGAAAAGTCATGCTTAGGGTTTGTAGRCACTTATTTTAGGATGGGGGAGACTATGTTTTCTATAAGGGTGGAATGATTTGGACCACTGATTTGACTTACTGCCCAGGAGTTATGTCTGTGGAGGCCCTACAGATGGATCCTAAAGGATTCATTAACAAACRTAGAATATGGCTACTCATCTCACCTGCTTATAAGCAGCCTTATCTCTAGTAGCCATTGTCCTACAGCCAACTTTAAATCTTCTCAAAGATTCTTTAAAGTAACTTGGTTTCTCCCAACATTTTTATTTTTATTTTTATTTTTACTTGGAGAAACCAATATATCTTTGYACCAGGAGAAACTATGTTTGGAAGAAACTCTCTAGGAAGGTGCTTCATCCAGATGACCCAGGGTAGCCATGTAGATAGACTTTAGTCCACTCCAGTATTAGACTCAGTCATCCCCTTACAAAATCATGAATTCTGGTACCTAGGAACAAGAAGGCAAATTAATCTAGTCCCTATAGAGATTATAATAAAGATTAAAATAACATTCCAGAACCATTTTCTAAAACCTCTTTTCAATGAACCAGTAGAATCGTGTTGTCCCATAACCACAGACTACCTGATCTGGAATCTTGGGGCTCCTGCATTCTAACCTGCCTGAGGAAAGACTGTCCATAATAGCTGAGTCCAGGATGGTGAAGCTTAGGGAAAGAGAGAAACCAAGTAGGGAACTTTGTTCTGGCTCTATTAGCAGTGAATAAATTTAGAGAATGGCTGTGACCATGAAGCATGCATCAAATAGACAGCATTGTCAAATATTAAATTTAATTATAAATTGAGATTTTAGGAATCTTTAGAGACACTTTTAGTTCATAGATAACACTTGCAAACTTGATGAAACTGGCAATGCACATCATAGTAGACATTTCTTCTTAGACTGTCTGAGGGAAGCAAATGCAAGAGTAATGATTTGTGTGTCCACTACTCTTTTTAGGKGGCACTTACTCAAAAGCATCTACCCCTAATGGTTATGATAATGGAATTATTTGGGCCACTTGGAARAGCCGCTGGTATTCCATGAAGAAAACCACCATGAAGATAATCCCATTCAATAGACTCTCCATTACAGATGGACAGCAACACCACCTGGGGGGTGCCAAACAGGTCAGGCCAGAACATGAAGTTGAAATAGAAGACAAATAAATCATTTTTCTCAGAGATGGTAGAGTGATAACTGTTAATTTCTATGGACTCACACAATATGTTTCAGACATATTCTGAAAGTCTTTTCCTATCTTCCTTTACTGTATTTTTAAATTTTAATTATTCTTAAAAGGATATTTTGGCTTCAATGAAAAAATAAAAATTCACATCAGACTGTATTCCCAAATTACTGAAATCAGAGTTWTTTTAAAAATTGCTTACTTGAGGAGATAACATTTGGACTTATTTCCTAAATATATAAAAATAAAACTATGGCTTTTTTTGCCTTGTTATGATTATTTGTCATTTTATTTTGTTACTTTTTTGGGTTTTATTATTTCATAAATATTTTTGTATGTACTAATAAAATAGGAGAAAATTTTAGAGTTTCAAATACCTGAGTATGTTTTCATGTATACTACCCCCCAAATCAGTCATATTTAAYTCTTCTTTTTTAAACAGAGAATTGTATCTTTTTTAATATATTCTTTTGTTTTGTTATATATTCATAGGCCGGAGACGTTTAAAAGACCATTCAAAAGTGATTTGATTTTTTAAAGGACTTTATCTGAACAGAAAAATATACTATTTTTCCTATGGGACAATGGACTTTCAAAGCCTCACTTCATATTAAGAGTAAAAGGAACTCATGTTGAAAACTCCATTAACAGTTTTGTGCTGGTGGTAATTTATCTACATGCATTTCAATAAACATTTTGTTTCCTAAGACTAGACACATGGTATCTTTTATTGAACATTAAAAACCATCACTTTTCATCCACTTAGTCATTACAATTGGACAGTCATCAGTTTTTGCTGAGCTCACCTTTGATGCTAGACATTGTACCTGACTGGGGGAAATTACAGAGGAAATGAAGTCATGGCTTTTCTCTTCAGGGAATAGGAGACACTTGAAGTGCTGTAACCCAAAGTGAAAAAAAAATTGATATAAGAACACATCAGGTAATTCAGGTGCATGGGACCCAAAGAGCAGCTGGTGACAGAAATCTGCTGAGGGATTCTTCCAGCAGCAGTGTTGAACTTCAAATATCRTCCACCCCACGTGTTCACTCAGAGAGGCCTACAGTTCAGAGCAAAGCACTGTGAGGAACCATCTGCTCAGTCTCTCACTGATGAACCAGGAGGGGAGGGGAGTGGAACCATCTCCTCATTCCAAATCAGAGATAATGAGACTTTAGCAGCTTGAATTCAGAAGCTGCTGACTTTCTGAGGAAGTTCGTAAATCTGTGTAACTTGACATTAGGTTGACTGCGTAAAGCACTAGACTGATTTTATGAAGGAAATATCTAATTGATCTGAAGTCCTGAGCTTTGGCTTTGAATTGTCTTCCTTCCCACAATTTCTTTCCTAATTCCCTCATTTTCTGGTTCTCACAAGTCCTGATTTTAAAATAATCTTAGAGGAAGTAAAAACAAAACAAAACAATAAATCAACTTCTAGGTATGCAAACAAATGCTGGTGACTCTTTGGGAAATCGGAACATTGATGGGRGGAAGGGGGGGATGGGAATGGGAAAGACAGTAGAATGAATTGAATACACTTTCCAATGTTCATATATGAATAGAGGACCAGCGTAACCTCCACTTCATGTACAACCACAAGAATGGAAAGTTAGATTGCATGTGTGTATGATATGTCAAAATACATCCTACTGTCATGTATAACTAAAAAGAACAAATTAAAAATGAAATAAGAACTTAGATTCATTGTTTGCAGTATTCATTTGTCTATGCATACACAGTGTTCCTTCAACTCCCATTTATTGAGTACCTTCAATGTACTAGCTCCTGTGCTAGACATTACRGGTGTGGCACAAATGTGCTCGACATCTTCCTCTCTCTCAAGCCTATTCTTTTCCATCAGTTCTTATGTTCCAAAAAGACAGGGACATCCTCCAGGCTTCCTCATTCCCTCCTTCTTCATGTCCACTGATTGATCTAGTCTGTAAAGTCCTAAATATTTAGTAGAATCCTTTCCTTCTCTATAGTTCTTGCCTCTAGTCAACATACACATCTCATGCCAGAAGAATTGCAATAACCTGCTTCCTGTTCCTTCTTGCCGATTCCACCTGGTCATGCTCCACACTATTTCTAAAATCAGAATGCAGAGCCTATCTACACTTCGTGCAATTACAAAATCTTTTAGAGTATCAGTTTGATCATGAATAGAAATAGTTATATATTTCAAAGTTTTAGTGCAATAATATCACTCCTGTGATTTATCCTAAGAACAGTTAAAAACATTTTTTATTTGTTCTAATTAGTTACACATAACAACAAAATGCATTTTGACACATCATACATTAATGGAGTATARCTTCTCATTCTGGTTGTACATGATGTAGAGTTACACTGGTTGAGTAATCATATGTGCACATAGGGTAATAATGTTCAGTTCATTCCACTATCATTCCTTCTCCCATACCCCCTCCCCTCCCTTGGCTCCCTTCTGTCTAATCCAAAATACTTCCATTCTCTCCCCACCTCATTTTGAATTAGCACCACATATCACAGAAAATATTCAGCTTTGTTTTTTGGGTATTGGCTTATTTCTTTAGCATAATATTCTCCAATTCCATTCACTTACCAGCAAATGCCATAATTTCATTCTTCTTTAAGGCTGAGTAATATTTTATTGAGAATATATATATATATATATATATATATATATACACACATATTTTTTTAAAGAAACCTGAGGATGTAACTCAGTGGAGAGGAGGTGCTTAATATGCACAAAGCCCAGGGTTCAATCCCAGAGCCCCAACCCTCACAAAGAAAAGAAAGAAGAAAAGAAAAAGAAACCAAAAAAGGAGAAAAAATAAGAAAATATTATATACAGCAATATAATAATATTTAATGACAATTGGAAATTTAGAAAATATTTAACAGTGGAAGAATGAACAAGCAAGACATTTTGTTAGTACAATGGAATAGACTACAATAACCACATAATAAGAATAATATCTCTATATCAACATGGAAACATTTACAAAATAATAAACAAACTTTTAAAGATGACAAAATAATTCTACAGTGACAATTATGTAAAAACTGTACATTTTGAATAAAATATAATCTTGACATATGCACATTATTTGTACATATTTGTTCTTCCCAATCTATTATATAAAATGTAATGAAATAATAAATAAATTTCCAACATTTCTGTTTTTTATAATCACCTGTCTGATGCTCCTTCTGATATATTAATTATAACAGTCTTTCAAAATCATTTTGAAGTACCCCATATTTGTGAGTGTCCAAAGTACATGTTTGCTCTACATATTGGATAATCTATCACTGATAGAAAGGGAACAGTAATTTTTTCTTTAGACATCCCCATATTGTTTGGATTATTATAATGAATATAAATTTTAATTTTGCAGTTAATTTTAAAACTCAGCAARGTAGAGAAAAATAGATTAACTTCAAATTTATATTTAGATATCAATATACAATGGTGAGCATTGAAAGGCTATAATTTAAGGAAGAAAGCATGAGAAATACTTCCAGACTCAATTGGACCAGGTCTTCACAAATGAAGTAGGAATTGAAAGGCTTATCTTGATAAGGGAACTTTTAAAAATCTACTTTCAAGGGGGCTGGGATGGTGGCTCAGCAGTAGAGTGCTCATCTAGCACATTCGAGGACCTGGGTTCGATCCTCAGCACCACATAAAAATAAATAAACAAAATAAAGATATTGTGTCCAACTACTTCTAAAAAATAAACATTTTAAAAAATCTATTTTCAAGCGTAAAGAAGAGTTTGGGAGATTATAGATTCTTTTTCTTCACAATTTCTCAAATCTCAGAAAACTATTGCTCATCTCTCCTCTTGACTTTCTCAAGCATACAAAAACTTGAGTCACTGAAAAATAGAGAGACTAAATGCAAACCGGATGTACAAGGTCCAACACTTTCATAAACCTGCAGGGGGAAATTTCTGAAAGAAAAATTCTGATGCATAGACATTAAGTCATGCAGCAACAGRGCAAAGATTTTATATCAAAAGACAGAATCAATTGGCCAAGTATCAATTTTTTTAAAATATACCTCTGAAGTGCTGTAGCTTTTTCCAAATTTTGTTATGTTTAATAGTTATATTTTATAGATTATGTTTCAGATGAGTGGGTGGGTGAAAAATGAGTAGGGAATGAAGAAATGTAAAGTGTTCATGGCATATTTGAGATCTTTCCCAGATCCTACATTCTTTCACTATAAGATTGTTATAAACCAGACAAAGAATGTATGGTAGATATATTTGGTTTATTCCAATGGTAAGAGAGAATATTTAGCTGTGGGAAAATGTGTCTACCTGATAGTTTCTTATCAGTTTGATTTAGCTCAAAAAAGAGCCAAGGATAAAAGTTAAAGATAGTAAATGAATAGAGGAGCAACAATAAATTCTTGAAAGAGGCCATGCGTGAGAGAAAGACTATATTTCCTTTACCTCTTTGGGGTGTGCCAGGGAGGGACATACGCACCTCAGAAGCACCCTCCTAATACACAATTCTCATTAGTTCTGTGTTGAATTAGTCTCTTGATTGATTAATCCTAATCTATTTAAATTTCCTTCCTTTCCCCTTCTCCTCTGAATAATCAACGATTCTAACAGATTTGATATGCATTTCTTTATCTGTTGGCATTTTATTAATCATTGATATATGTGTGCATATTCTTAAACTATATAAATGTCATTGTGCTATATATAAATCAGTGTTATTCAGAATGCTGACCCCCAATTTTTTGTTAGTGCATTAAAAACAAAAATCAAGATTAGCATGTAGAAACTTTGTTCAATGTTATGTTTGTTCTGATTATGTCTATTGAAACTGTATCATTGTTTTTTGAACCAAATAACAAAAATTGCAGCCTGTGTTTTACATATTCTTGCTTTGCTAAATTTCACTTTTCTAGTAATTATTTTTACTGTGTTTTTGTAAAATAATAAGTCTGTGACTGAATAGAACTTTAATACAATGGTTCCTTTACCACAAATACTTTGAGAATACTGTTAACATCTTCATTGTATGTATTGCTTTGTGTGTATGTGTGTGTGTATATATGTGTGTGTGTGTGTGTGTGTGTGTGTTTGTGTGTGGTGCTGGGTGTCAAACCTAGGGCCTCAACCATAGTAGGCAAGTACTGTGCCACTGAGTCACTCCCCGATCCCACTTATTTTTTTAAATGTGACAGCAGAATGCATTACAATTCATATTACACAGAGCACACTTTTTCATATCTCTGGTTGTACACAAAGTAGAGTCACACCACTAGTGTCTTCATACATTATCTCATTCCACCGTCTTTCCTACCCCCCCATCCCACTTATTACTTTTGTTATTCATCACTGTTTTTTTAAAGATCTATTTACAATTTGAGTGTTTTTTAATTTCCCTTTGTGTCCAGAGGTACTCAAGTGAATACTAATTGTTTCCAAAGCTTGTGAATTTTTAACTAGTTTAACTATTATCTAGATGCATTGCCTATGGTTAGAGAACAGAGTCTTGACAGTGATTCTTGGGAAGGAGAAGTTTTGCAACTCATTTGGGGACAAAGGATTATCAGAATTAATGTATCCCATAAAAGTTTATATAAACCATAATCATTCTCCAATAAGGATCTACCTACTGAAATTATATGAACATTTTATTTTTCTTTTGGAAGACAAAGTATAAACCAAAGACAGACAGRTGGTTATTGGCTTTTA